GTTTCGCGATAAATATTATGCGAATCGATCGTTCGACAATCGAGCCAGGCCAGAACTTGAAATTGAATGAAAATTTAATAATCATAATCGGCCCTCGATGGACCGCATTCTTCTCTCGAGCTCGATCGACAAACAAGCGGCGATTAACATAATTGGCGGCCATAATTAACATAATGATCGGCTCGATGACACAGTCTGACGCCTCTAAAACCGAAGGAAGGGATATTCGAAACACGATGACGAATCCAATAAAGGTCTCTACCTCGTCGTTGGTTGGAAGGTCATCGACCAACCGGATAATCGTCCGTATAAATTTCTCGGGATAGATTATGCGAACGCGACACGTACCCGCGCTTTCGACGCGATGTCTCTCTTATTGTTGAACGGAATGGAGTTACACGACCGCTTGCGTTGCGATTCCAAACGCGTTTTATACGGTGAAATAAGATATTTAAGAAGGCTCGTGATCGGGGAGAGGGAATTTTTTGGATCTATCCCCTTCTTTCTTAATTAATTCGAAACATATATATATATATAGTATTAATTTAATTTGAGAATTTTGTTGGTGTCTGGAGATGGAGCAGATTGTTATTAATTTGATTAGAGAGCGAGGGATTAAAAGGAGGAGAGAAATATTTGTATAATTAGTTCAACCGGGATAACGAAGGTGGAAAAACCGATTCCACGGTACAAAAGGCAGGAAGTATTTGCTCCGTGATTTGAGAATATTCTCGCGTGTCTATAATGTGCGTTACATAGATCCCGAGCCACGCCCCTGGGATCTTTGTTTGTTCATTATTCCTCGAAACGGGATCTCTTTTCAAGGGGCGTGCTACAACAACAACTCTACTTTTAAATTTCGCGCCAATTCGATAAGATTCACGTTGGAAAAAGAAGACAAAACACGCTCCGTCAGAGAACTTGTCAATTATTCCTTCTTAGAGGATAGCAATAATGCCGACACGCGCGATCGCTTTATACTTTAACCGATTAAAAATAGATACCACGCGAGGGCCATGGTGTATTCGTTGCATATAAATGCGTATCGCTGCAGGTCGCTACCCGATTTCAAGGAAACGGCTTCGTCTGACCTCCGTCGTCGCCTGCTATTATATTATATACGTACGTCCAACTTTTGCTTGCTCGATGACAGGATTTAGAGATTTTCGAACCATAAGATCTTTCCCTTTCTTATTAATCAAACATCTATCGTCTATTTCCTCCGTAAGAGTCTGTGTATAAATGAATATTAACGTATTTTTATTAAAATAACGGGGACCTGATAACTTTCCTGAAAATTATTATTAATTGTTTCAACGTTGTTTAAGCATTGTTTCTTATTCGAATCGGACAATTATTCGAAGAGCAGGAACAGTCGAAACGATATAATAAATCAGTCGACTAATAAATCTTCCTTCGAAACTCCATCAATGTCAGCTTACCGACCGACCGTCTTTCTTTGGGCTCGAACAAACGGCCCAATAAATATCAATAATACTACGACTAGCCTGAAAATTGTCCTTGAAACTTACCATACTTTCTTATATATATATATATACATATATATTCTCTGAGAAACCCTATTCGAATCTATCCCAATAATAAGGCGACACGGGGCAAGGACAAAGTGAGTAAACGGGCAAGGACGAGTGGTGTTTAAGAAGGGAAGATGGAAATGGAAGGGGGAGAAAAAAAAAAGAAGAAGAAAAAGAAAAGAAAAAAGGCAGTTTTAACCGAGGAAGGCCGTCACGGTGGACAAAACGTCGTGGGCTCGTAATAGCGCCGCAGTAAATTCATGAAAATAAATTATCGCGTTGATTATGGTGGGACGTTGACTCTCCCCGAGTCTTGTGACACCTCGCAGGCTGTTAAGTCTCCTCCTGTCGAGTGGCTGTCGCGTACACACCTTTGAGGAGAGAAAGTTTTCCGTTTATTATACGCGTTTTACGAAGCGGCGGCTTATAAACGGTGGAGGAAACAAAGTTTTAAAATCGTCTGCTCCCCCCTCCCCTATTGGCTTAAAAGGATTCGCAAGGGTTGAGGAGGAAGGGCTGTTTGTTGGATTTTTCCAGCATTATTGTTGATCGACGATCCCCCAAAAATATCGAGTTTCCTCTGGATCTTCCTCGAGGGAGGATGACAATGAGGGGGGCAACTTCCGGTGTGCATATCCAGTGTGGTATACCGACTTTGTTCGAAAACTTTTTTTTCAAAAAAAACGTTGAAATATTGTATATAGAATTTCGTGTCTCCTTGATAGATGAATACTTAACGACCTCAATTTATTCATCCATAACGACCCGATAGGAGGGGATATATGAAAGATGTATATATGTCAGACAATGTGGAACAAGGCAGGAATATTTCGAAATATATACATGTATACGTATCAATTTGTAATTCGCACTTCGTGTGAATGATACGCGTGAATCAAAGGATAGGAGGAGACATCGAGAGATGCCCGAAGAGGAAATAATTACTATTGTAACTTCTTTGTTGATTTTTATTATTATTATTATCATAACACAATATTCCCTCCTTTAATTATCTCCATTGTCTCGATCGTAACTTTATCCCGAAGGATTTTACGCAAATTTTGCAACACGATCGATTCGACTTTTTTCGATTCAATTTTATTTCGTGTCCCGATAAAAGTCAATACGGCACCGTAATCGATCGTAATAAAGTAATAAAGTAATCGAAAGACAAATCAACCTTGCGTGGGTGGCCATCGTGGAACAGGTGGCGAAGCTAAGCCGCGTGGGCGGTTGCACAATGCAGCCCTGAAAGCGAACGCGTCGCGATAAATCGCAAAGTTGCAGATATATATAATGGAGCGTCGGCGAATTTTTCCTCCTCGATCCTCGGAGACGGAAAATCGAGCGCCGTCGCGATTAACTTGGTTCAGCGGTAAACCGATCCTCGACGAGCGAAAGCCGAGGGAAAAAATTCGAAAAAGTCGATGGTGTCTGGAACGAGTCGTCGAGTCGAAGATAATCGAAGAACAAGAACGCAACAGGAACAAAAAAAAAAAAAAAGAATCTCGAGACGAATATTGTTCGAAAGCAAAAGCGGTTCGTCGAGCTTGCATCACGTTTTTCATCGATGCCAGTTCGTTCCTTTCGAAATCTTGCGCCGAAATTTTCCATCTCTACGATCGAGATGATCATGGTGGGTGATGATGATCGGTGCGAAATCCCTGTGAATCGTGGAAGAGGAAGTACGGAGGAAGGGGATTATGGAATATTAAAACGCTGTGTGTGGGAACGAAGATTCCAACCTCGCGTGCTCTGCGCTGCGATTCGTTTTATCCATTAAGAAGCGAGCAATGCGTGGATACTTATATAGCGGGCGCTGTGTTATCGAACAAAAAGGAAATAATTTCCTTTCGACGACGAGGACGAGGTATTAAGAAAAAGAAGAGGGCAAACGGCTTAATGAACGAGAATCTCCAAGGAGATTAAACCGGTATCGCATTATACGGGGCATTGTTCGAATATCAACAACACTTTGTACCGCGCTCGAAACCAGTATCCCATTATACTCGAGACAGGGTCGAGGTAGAAAAATGGGGAAACCCAATATTATTACATTCTAAGGAGAAAAATCTACCTGAGCCTTCGCCATATTTTCACCCTTTAAAATTTTATTATACATCGTCGATCAATTAAAACGATTCGACATATGTAAAACCGAGATGGCCCTAAATCAAAGATAAAGTAAACACCTATATATATATACATCTATATACACACACGCGCGTACATAGACGAAAGAAAAGAAGAGCGAAGAGGACAGACTTCCTCGTGGGATGGAACGGTCCGGAAAGAATATGACGGATCGTGGGACGAGGACAGAGAGCGGCGAGCGAGAAGAGAGGAAGCGGGCAAGGTTAGAGGGAGAGGAAGGAGAGAAGGCGAAACGACAGAGGTGTAGTACCCGGCCGCTGGAGCGAGAGGGCGCATGGCCTTGGCCGCTGCTGCGGGGTAATTCAGTCAAGGTTTCGGCCGATGAACTTCCTCCGGCGGGAGGAAGGAGAGCCGGCCGGTAGAGGTCCGCGGCGAGTGGTGGGGAGAGGCGGCGGCCAATGAGGAGGGCGCGCGGCCCAGCGAGCGGCGACGCGATTGGCCGGGCCCGTGACGCCGGTGCGCCCGGGCCCGCAGCCGCTTGTCAGTGACCTCCAGCATTGAAAATACGATGAACTCTCTCAGGGGGGCTCTGTAAGAGCGCACCGGTGCGCTGTGTGTCCTCTACTACATACTAGGTAGCCAGGGCGTAGACATTGTAGATGGTCGAGGCAGGCTGGCAAGCAGGCAGCCACATCAATCCCTCCCCTCCACTCGGAGTACCGGCGTCGCTCCGAGTAAGGGCTGCACGGCCCCCAGGTAACCAACACTCGCCAGCGCCGAACTCCAGTCAGACCAACGCGAACCTCCCTCGAGCGAACACTTACTTTCACTCTCTCTTCTCCGCGCCATCCGTCCCGTTCTTTTTCGGCCTCCCTTGTATACTACCCACAGCTTCCTTCCTCGCTCGCTCGTATACTACACGCGTATAACACGGCCGTGGTGTTCGTCGCCCGCCGCACAACGCACCTGCCCTTCGTTTCGATAGGTTCTCGGCCGGAAAGTAGCGAGCTCGTGTGATTCGTCTTTCTCACGTGATCGTGTGCTAGCGATACTTTAATGAACTAACTGGACTGGAAGATAAGAAGGAGAGAGAGAGAGAGAGAGAGAGAAGAGGAGAAGGAAAAGGAGGATATATATATATATATAAAGGAAGAATTTTACCGTTGGATATTGTCTCGTTGTTCCTTTTATTCTTATGGTGATGACAATTGAAGAAGATGTGAGTTAGTAGTGAGTTATTGGTCAGTGGTGATAGCCGAGTAGAAGGAACGTAGAGAGTGAACTAATGTCGGTCCTCGAGTCAGTGCAGTGGCGTGCCAAGTGGTTGATGATAAATCGAGGAACATAACGTACAGAATACATCGTTGGATCGAATATAGACAGACCATGATCCTGACACCGGACAGCAGCGCGCAGGCCACGATGGCGACGTCACCGGCACCCGAATCCCCCATCTCGAGCATATCTTCCCACGGTTCCCGCGCGTCCAGCGTGTCGCGCATGTCTTGCGTATCTCAGGGAATGTCCAGCCCTTATCACGTGGCCCAGTTGCCGCATCACCTTAGCCCCAACATGCCTACCATGGACTCCACCGTTTCCTCGGCGAAACCTGAGCCTGAATTGAACATAGGTACGGTTCCCGGAGTCGACGGAACTCATTTGAAAATTAAATTTTTTTGTGCGAGAAAGAAAAAGAAAAGGAAAAAGAGATCCTCGAATTTCTCATTTCCTTTCGCGGGAAATCGAAAATGCCGTATAATTATAGGAAAATTGTAGGAGATGAAATCAACGAGTCAGGTTCGACCAGATACCCGTATATGTATATATAGGGTGGTCCATTAGTCCGGTCTTATCTGATGGTACAGATAGAAAAAAGAAAAAGAACGATCGCGCGTCGTGACAGTGGAGTGAAAGCAGAAAGTTGTAACACGCCGATGCTGTAACCCGCCGCGAGAGAGGAGAAAGTGTTCTTCTTTCTCTCCCACCTTTCTCCTCTCGGACACGCGCTCTCCACCACGTGGAGAGCAACGCGAACATTGACATATCGATAACACGCGCATATTATATAGTGTGGACAGTGTGTAACTCTATTTCTTTTCTTCTTCTATTTGCAGAATTCGACGGGACCACGGTATTGTGCCGTGTTTGCGGGGACAAGGCGTCCGGTTTTCACTATGGAGTACACTCCTGCGAGGGATGCAAGGTGAGTGGAAATTCGAGCTCGCCACATTCCGTCTTTGACGTCTTTTTTCGATCCGTTTACACATTTTCGCTTACGCGTTTTTTTCCTTCTTACGAATCTCATTTTCGAGTTTCGTGATATAGCGGAATCGTGTTGGCGAATATCGCGCGCGATTTTTTTTAACGCGAGGTCTCCTCGAAATTTTCGATACTTTTTCCTTTTCTTTTTAATTTTCATTTTTCTTCTCTTCCCTTCTTGAAGAGAAAAGAGGGAAGATTCGAGACGAGATTTTTAAGATTGAGATTTGAGAAAGAGTATCGAAAATGTCGATCGTGAGGCGATGTGGCCAGGAAGTGAACGGGGCTTGAATGTGAATGTACGATGCGACCAAGGCTACGGAGAAGCTATCGACCGAGCACAGCTCGACCTTGTACACGCGGAAATCGCGAGACGTTCGGGCTGGGTCCTTGACGTTGCCCTCCTCCCGTGGACGAAAAATCTTGCCAAGGTCTCTTTCTTTACAATCTCAAGAATCGTGTTCTCGAACATAACATTCGTCATCGGTTTTTTTTTTCTTTTTTTCTTTTCACGATTCTTTTTATTCAAGAATAAGATTCAAGATCGCATGTATATATATATATATTTCCTCTGCTGATCGTGCCGACAAGTTCGTTTAAATCGATCCAAATACAATATATTTTAAAAATATTTCTTACGAGAGAGACACAAAAAACTTGTGCGACTTTCGAGAATGGAAGGGAACAGGATACGCGGTCGTGTTCGATGATCAGATTTTCCTGGAACACGGGTACAAGCAAGAAGGGCAGGAAGGGACAATAGCTTCGCGGGCGGTTACGCAAAAGGAGCGGAAAATGTGGCGAAATTTCAGTTTAGAACGTTAACCTTCGCGTGAGAAGGATGCGGGGGAGGGGGAGGGGAGGGGGGGGAGGGGAGGGGGGGGACAGGTAGCGAGTTTTGTATCGGTGGTTTTCGTGTGGCCGAGTTTTAGGGCAGGTATGTGCAACGCAGAGAAGAATGCACATCCGTCCATGCAACTTCCTG